TTCCAAGTAGCTGGAACTACAGGCACGCGCTACCACGCCCGGCTAATTTTTGATTTATTGTAGAGATGAGGTCTCGTCAAGTTGCCCAGGTGGGTCTTGAACCCGCGGGCTCAGGCATTTCACTCACCTTGGCCTCCCAAAGTGCTGGGATTATAGGCTGAGCCACCGAGCCCAGCCTAATTTTTTTTTCTTTTTTTTTTTTTTGAGTTGGAGTCTCACTCTGTTGCCCAGACTGGAGTGCAGTGGCCGCTCCCGGCCACCGCAGCCTCGACCTACTGGACTCCGGCGATCCTTCCACCTCAGCCTTCCGAGTAGCTGGAATTACAGGTGCGCGCTACCACACCTGGTCGATTTTTTGATTTATTGTAGAGATGAGGTCTTGCTGCCCAGGCGGATCTCGAACCCACAGGCTCAGGCAGTCCACTCACCTCAGCCTCCCAAAGGCGCGGGATTGCAGGCTCAGCCACCGAGCCCGGCTAATTTTTTTTCTTAATAAAACATTCTCATGTATTTTATCTTTCACATTTCCTGATCAATCTTTCTGGTTGAAATGATTTTAAATAGTACATGTAAAGGACTTAAAGTAATCCTTGGCACACAGTGAATACTCAATAAGTATTATCTGCTTATTATACTGTTTGTTTGTTTGTTTGTTTGTTTTTGAGTCAGGATCTCACTCTGTCACCCAATTTAGAGAGAAGTGGCACGATCACAGGTCACCACAGTCTTGACCTTCTGGGCTCAGGTGATCCTCCTGCCTCCACCTCCTGAGTAGGTGGGACTACAGTTGCAGGCCACCACACCTGACTAATTTTCTTATTTTTGCAGATATGAAGTCTTGCTATGTTGTCTGGCTGGTCTCAAACTCCTGGGCTCAAGCTATCCTCCCATCTCAGCCTCCCAAAGTGCTAGGATTATAGGTGTGAGCCACTGTGCCTAGCCATATTCCTTATTCTAAGTGCTTGGGACCAAAATGTTTTGAATTTCAGAATTTTTCAGATTTTGGAAAATTTACATATATATAAAATGAGATATCTTGGGGATGGGACCCAAGTCTAAATATGAAATTCATTTATGTTTCATATATGCCTTATAGACATAACCTGAAGTAATTTTAAGCATTATTATTATTATTTTAAGAAATTGCATCTTGCTATGTTGCCCAAGCTAGAGTGCAGTAGCTATTCATAGGTGTGATCCCAGTGCACTGTAACCTTAAACTCCTGGGCTCAAGTGATCCTCCTGCCTCAGCCTCCTAAGTAGCTGAGACTACAGGTGTGTGCCACCACACCCAACTTCCTCATCACTTTAAAGAGAAGGACATATTCAGATTTAAGTGTTGATGATTCCCTTTTTCATGTTACTCTGGAGTCTCATGTTTCTGGGAGAGGCTGTACTTGAGAACTGTCTACCTGTGAATGACAACTTATTTTTTCCTTTTCTCACATTCCAGGTATGCAAAGGCCCCCCTCAGCATGAGGAAATCTGCCTGGGCCTCTTTACTCTTGTCCTCACTGAACCTGCCCAAGCCCAGAAGGTAAGACGTCCTGCTTTGGACCCACAGGCCCTCATGTATGATCTGGACTATGGCAGTACTTAACTGGGGTAGTACAAGGCTCTCTGACCCGAGCTGGATGATCTTGTTCTCCAAGTATGGTTATAACTCCTGTTTTACTTTCAGTGGATTGGTCAATTATCTGCCTAAAGTTCCTTCTCTAGCTCCAGATGCTGAAGGTAAAAGGCAAGAAAAGGCAGTTGTGAGAGTGAGAAAGCACATATACTTTTAACCTTTAGAATTATGAGGCAAGGCTGAAAGGGTTGGCACTTAATCCAGGGAGTAGAAGAGAACAAGTAAGTTGGGCTCGGTGGCTCAACCTGTAATCCCGCGCCTTTGAGAGGCTGAGGTGAGTGGATTGCCTGAGCCCATGGGTTCGAGACCCGCCTGGGTAGCGAGACCTCATCTCTACAATAAATCAAAAAATCAGCCGGGCGTGGTAGCGCATGCCTGTAATTCCAGCTACTCGGAAGGCTGAGGCGGAAGGATCACCGGAGCCCAGCAGGTTGAAGCTGCGGTGGCTGGGAGCGGCCACTGCACTCCAGTCTGGGCGACATAGTGAGACTCCAACTCAAAAAAAAAAATAAAAAAGAGAACAAGTATAACCAAGTCCGTGAGAGTGCTTACTCAGAGGAGCATGACCTCTAGTTTGTAGGTTCTGCCATTGGCAGGTGAACAGAAAGCAGGCTTAACATTGTGGCAAGTGGGATTTAGATTAGACAGCTTAATGTTAGTGAGTGATGCAGTAAATAATGTAGTGATTAAGAGAGTGCTGGGGTATACTGGAGCCAGACTTCTGAGGAATAGTACATGAAAACTAGTCTGGGGCTCTTCACAAACAGAAGACTCTCCTTTATGTGCAGTGATTTAAGTGGGGTCTATTCCTGGAAATGAGGGACTAGGCAGGATGACCTCTTCAGATTCTGTTCTTTTTATAACAGAGTAACAAAATTCTGTCTTCTACCTCTTCTTACTTCCCTTTTCCAACAACTCTGTGTCCTTTGAATCTTAGGTATAATGATTTAGAGTGTGTGTCTGGTACCTGGCATTAACTGTACGACATTAACAAGAGAAGGACTTGGAATAGGGGAGTTCAATGTCCCTTTGACTCGTCCCTGAATAAGGGTGATGTGGAAAGAAACAAACCACTCTGTGCCCAGCATTCTGTTAGGCTCGATCCAGTCAAGATCTGTCTTTTTGTTTTTGAGTTGGAGTCTCACTCTGTTGCCCAGGCTGAAATGCAGTGGCATGCTCACAGCCACCTCAACCTTGGCCCACTTGGCTCAGGTGATCCTTCCGCCTCAGCTTTCCTAGTAGCTGGAACTACAGGCGTGTGCCACCACGCCTGGCTAACTTTTTGGTTTATTGTAGAGATGAGGTCTCACCAAGTTGCCCAGACTGGTCTCGAACCCCTGAGCTTAGGCAGTCGTCTAACCTTTGCTTCCCAAAGTGCTAGGATTACAGGTGTGATCTCATTCGATCCTGCCAAAAAACCATATGAGGTTGATGGCTTCATGCCCCCACCTAAGCCACTCCCAGTTTACCTGTGAGGTCAGAGGTGGTGGTATTTGTTCATGCTCAAAAAGAACCAAAGAAAAATCATTCCCAGGGACAAGAGCGGGTTGCTCGTGGTTCTTTGGCATAGCTGCTTGAATTAACCTCAGGGGAAGGATTTATGGGCTTGGGAACCTAATCTGTTTGTACTTCTCTGATGCCAGCTGGAATAGGGTCTGGTCTGAGGGTGGGTGTTAAGGCAGTAAGTATTCACAAATTCTTGGTTTCCCAGGAAAGCCAAAGCCATTCTGGGCTGGGACCTTGTTGAGTTAAATTGCCATTTCATTTTCATACTGAATTTATCCCCAACATCCTTGAAGACAAATCAATATCTTCATTTAGATAGTGTTAAACAGTTATATGATTCAGTCTAGCCCATCTATTTTAAAGAAATTGTTGTCAGAGATGGAGGTGGATGAGTTAGAGTTAAGGTTAAAATTCCATATAATCATCTCAATGCAGACTGACTTGACCAGTGTGGAAAGTCTTGTTTATTTCAGGTGATCTGAATCAGCCAGTGTAAACCTCAGTGAAGGAGGCAGTGTGTGGGTGTGGTGTGGTGTTTCTAGCTCTTTCCCTGACATGACAGTAAGAGGCCACTGGGCTCTGCATTGTAAAGGCCTGTGTCATGAATTTAGTCATCCAGACACAGCAAGAGACCAGAGCATCTCTTCTTTTTGCCCTATAACAGCCCCATAAGGGAGGCCTAGGTCATCCGGGGAGGTGAAGTATCTTGCCTTGAGTCGACAGCTACATCAGGATTCATGTACACATGCTGAAGGTTTCCACATAAATCCCCTACCTGTGAGTCTTCTTTTTTTTTTGAGTCGGAGTCTCACTCTGTCGCCCAGGCTGGAGTGCAGCGGTATGCTCGCGGCCACCGCAGTCTCAACCTTCTGGGCTCCGGCGATTCTTCTACCTCAGCCTTCCAAATAGCTGGAGTTACAGGCGTGCACTACCATGGCTGGCTAATTTCTTTTTAATATTTATTGTAGACACGAGGTCTTGCCAAGTTGCCCAGGCTGGTCTTGAACGCCTGAGCTCAGGCAATTCTCTTGCCTCGGCCTCCAAAGTTCTGGGATTACAGGCTTTAGCCACCGTGCCCGGCCTCCGGTGAGACTTCCAAACTGTTTCTAGATCAGGTCTCTTCAAAAGCAGTCAAGACAGAATTAGGAGGATACAGTTTTAGGTGAGTGAGAAACTATTGGTTAGTGACTGATTTAGAGACCTTGAGACAGGTCAGAGTGGGATGGAAGAATTAGTAACGTATCTCCCTAGAGCTTGGGTCCTTCGCCCCGAAAGGATGATTATTTTGTGAAATACTGTCCTGCAGAAGTTTTAGGTAGGAGTTATTGATGAGGACTGACCCTAATGCACTGTTTGGGCTTCAGCTTAAAGCAAGGGGACTATTTTCTAAAGGTTTATATTGGGTTGATTCCACCTTTGAAATAGAAACCTCCAGTTGGATCTGAGGTGCAGTTGTTCCTGAATCTTCACAGACTGAGAGGTGACAGGTGGGGTTGGTAGATAGATAGCGGTAGAAACTGAGTCTTGAGCACATTAGAAGCCTGCCCTGGAAAAGTATGAGCTGTGGAGTCTCCTTAGCACTGGCAGGCAGGTTCAGGGAGTTTGGCCCAGCTCTCTGGGACTTTGTAGGTAGGATTAGTGTGGGTTGAACAGGTGAACATGGTAACTCAGTTACGGAGATCACATATTGGTAGAGGGTTAAATATGCATGGGTTGGATTTTGTCCCAGTTGTAGCTTCTTGATTTGCATCTGCCCTCTTGGCAGCTCTTAGAAATATTTCTATTCTTTTAGTTTATTTATTTCTTGTTTGATGTCTGAACTGAATATCTGGGGGCAGGATTTGCTGGGGAACAGTGGTAAGGAGGGAGGCTTAACTGGAGGCCTAAGCTGTGCAGGCTCCAACAGTCAGTAGATGAAGGTAATAGGAGAGAGTTTAACATCAGTGCCAAGGTCTATCTTCATCAGAGGGTCAAGGACTCAGGCCCAAGCAGTTCTTGGTGTAGGTGCTTATCCCAGCAGGCAGCTCTAGAAAGAAGGTCATAGGCTATGAAAGCCTAGGTTGGAATATCACTGCTCTCAGCACGGTTAGGATCCATGTGCGGTCTCAGTGCCATTCTCTCACTTTTCCTTTCTTTTGAGATTCTCTGCTTCTCTTTTCTGTTTCTCATGAGTTTCTTTTTCCCCATCTGGACCTTTTCCAAACCAGTCAGCAAACTGGCACAAAGGTTGGTAAGACAACTGGCAGCCTCAGGGATCTGGTCCTCTTGGTACCCAGCTGCAGTTCTGGTTAGTAAAGGTCTCTAGGTGGAGCAAGGAATTAGAGCAGTGTCTGCTCTCTTCATCTGACCCTGTGTCTCCTGAGAAACTCTTTCTTCTCAGTCCTGCATCTATTTGGCATTTCTGGGATTTTTTTCTTTCATTTGACCAGACAAGGTTTCTCTCTGGTTATTAGTGTCTCTATCTTTGACCTGACGCAGATTTTGTTTCTGCCTCTACCAACCTCATCCTCTCCACATTCTGTGACATACCTCAGGAGCCTCCAGGACTAAACAACCTGTATCTGTTGACTAGTACATGGATAGTAGTTCATTGGGCTCCCGTGTCTCTTCCTTGTTTCTTTGTTTGTTTTTAATCTCCCACCCGTCCCCCACATAGAGTCAAAGGATAAATTCTCCTTTGGGAATGAAAAGTTTGTGGCCCATGGGGGCTGGATAACTATTGCTATTTTCATCATCAAGTGGTTTGACTTAAGAATAATGCAGGCAGCTGGGCTCGGTGGCTCAGCCTGTAATCCCGCGCCTTTGGGAGTCTGAGGTGAGTGGATTGCCTGAGCCCGCAGGTTCGAGACCCGCCTGGGCAACTTGGTGACCTCATCTCTACAATAAATCAAAAAAATTAGCTGGGCGTGGTAGCGCGCGCCTGTAGTTCCAGCTACTTGGAAGGCTGAGGCAGGATTGCCGGATCCCAGCAAGTCGAGGCTGGGAGCAGCCACTGCACTCCAGTCTGGGCGACAGAGTGAGACTCCAACTCAAAAAAAAAAAAAAAAAAAGAATAATGCAGGCAGGATAATACAGTGACTTAGCTAATCTCTTAGGAGTCCCTCAACACACTGAGGCCAGAGAGCAGCTGATCTTGAGGGCTATACCTCTTCTGAAGGTATAAGATGAAAGTTTAGAAATGTAGTAGGCTCGGCCGGATGCGGTGGCTCACGTCTATAATCCCAGCACTTTGGGAGGCTGAGGTGAGAGGATTGCTTGAGCCCACAGGTTCAAGACCAGCCTGGATAACTTGAGGAGACCTCATCTCTACAATAAATCAAAAAATTAGCCGGACGTGGTGGTGCGTACCTGTAGTTCCAGCTATTTGGAAGGCTGAGGCAGATTGCCTGAGCCCAGTAAGTCGAGGCTACGGTGACTGTGAGCATGCCACTACACTGCAGCCTGGGCCACAGAGTGAGACTCCAACTCAAACAACAACAGCAAAAATGTAGTAGTCTCAAAACCATCATGAGCCCTTAATGCCATGGCCAGCAGCCACTTTTCTTTCTAATGTTGATATAGGAGGCAGTTAAGCATAGACTATAAAAATGAAGTGCCTGGATTTGAATCCAGGTTCTTGCTCTAATCTCTTATATGACCTGGGGTGAATTACTTTAACCACTCTATGCCTGTTTCCTCATCTGTAAAAATAGAAATAATAATAAATAATACCTATTTCAAAAGTGTATCGTGTATGTGTATCGGTTGCAGTAATATAATATAAAGTTTGTGTGCATATTAATGAATGTTAACTATTGTTGTTATTATTGATACTGTCCTTGCCATTGCCCTTCAGAGGTTGTGGGAAGCTGCCTACCTAATTGTTCTTTTTTGATGAGACCCTGACAAGGATAGAACTCAGCAGGCAAAGGAGATTGTTAATGAGGTCCCCTAAGGTATTCCTCCTGGAGTCTGGTCTTACCAGAGAGACAGGGCGAGCAAAGCTCTAAGAGGACAGGAAGCAATGTTTCTCACAGAAGAAATTGGCATGTCCTCCCTCACCTCTCCCAGGGTTGGGTATCCTGAAGAACCTCTCCTTTTTCAGTACTTGGCAGAAGCAAAGGGCATCCTATAAAAAAGAAGAAAGATATTTAGTTAATCAAGTTGATCTGGGCACAGTGGCAGGTGCACCTGTAGTCCCAGCTACTTGAGAATCTGAGGCAGGAGGATCACTTGAGCCAGGAGTTTGAGGCTGCGGTGAGCTACAGTCACACCGCTGCACTCCATCCTGGGCGATGGAACAAGATCTTGCCTCTAAAATTAAAAAAAAAAGAAAAGAAAATTTAGTTTTGATTCTGCCCTTTCTGTCTGGGGCCCTGCCCTGGATCCTTGTCCCTTAATACTCCCTTTGCTGCCTCTGGCTGGGTCAGCCCAAGTCTAAAAACCTCTTTGGGATCCTTTCTGGCTTGTTCAACTCAATCCATTCTGCAGTGACCTTTTACTGGCAGATGAAAAGCAGATGGCCTCCACCTGGTTTTGCTCAGCTTGTGGCATCAAACAGTGTGACACTTCCTAAGGAGGGAGGTTGGGGGACAGCGATAGGACCGGGAGCCTTGCCCAGCAGGCTTTCCTGCACCTCACCAGAGGGTATTCAGTTCTTTTCCCCACCCTGGGTGACTGAGCAGGAGACAGGTTTGGGATAGAGGAACCCTGTGGACAGATTGTGTCTACAATAGAAATTGTTCCATTGCTCCTTAGTATCCCATAGGTGTTATTTAAGTTCAAGAGAGTAGAGGGCAAGGGGTCGTCTACTCTGGGTGGGGTCAGGAGCCTTATCAGTGTGCTGGTTGCTCACAAACCTTACTTTTCACAGTGTTACCGAGATTTGGCTCTGGTGAGTCGTGACGGCATGAATATTGTCCTGAATAAAATCAACCAGATACTTATGGAGAAGTACCTGAAGTTGCAGGATACCTGCCGTACTCAGGTAAGGCCAGAAAGAAAAGACAGGCTCTAGCTCAAAGGCATGACAGAGGACGGACCCTCTCTCTCACAGGAAGGGGAGGGAAGAATTGGGGCCCACACATCCCTACCATTGTGCACCTCACCTGCAGTGTGCTCCTTTCAGGTGTGATTGAATTAGCCCCTTTCTCAGACTCAGGCCCTGCTCTTCATCTGTTTTTTCCTCTTTCCTCTAGTTGGTGTGGTTGGTACGGGAACTAGTGAAGAGCGGGGTTCTGGGAGCCGATGGTGTTTGCATGACATTTATGAAGCAGATTGCAGGTGAGTTTGGCAGGAGCAAAAAGGAGAAAGGGGAGCCCAGAGGCTGCATACAGGCAGTGGAGAATGATTAAGTGCCTAAGGGACTCAATTCCTGGGTGGCTTAGATGCTTTTCTTCTGGCATAGACATCTTCTGGCCACATATGTTATAGAAAGAAATTGATTGAGCCAGGCACAGTGACTCATGCCTGTAATCCCAGTACTTTGGCAGGCTGAGGCAGGAGGACTGCTTGAGCCCAGGAGTTCGAGACCAGCCTGGGCAACATAGCGAGACCTCATCTCTACATAAAATTAGCCAGGTGTGGTGGTGTGTGCCTGTTGTCCCAGCTGCTTGGGGGACTGGGGCAGAAGGGTTACCTGAGCCCAGGAGGTTGAGGCTGTGGTGAGGATGAGTGTGCCACTACATACTTTGTAATAGCACAGGTAACAGGGTGACCCTGACACACACACACACACATTCACACTCTCCCTTTCTCTCTCTCTCTCTCTCTCTCTCTCTCATGTACACACACACACACACATACAGCTTAAAAAGTCTTAAGTCGTAGGGAGCCTTTTTTTTTTTTTTTGAGTTGGAGTCTCACTCTGTCGCCCAGACTGGAGTGCAGTGGCCGCTGCCGGCCACCACAGCCTTGACCTGCTGGGCTCCAGCGATCCTTCCGCCTCAGCCTTCTAAGTAGCCGGAATTACAGGCATGCACTACCACGCCCAGCTGATTTTTTGATTTATTGTAGAGATGAAGTCTCGCTGCGCAGGCGGGTCTCGAACCCATGGGCTCAGGCAATCCACTCACCTCAGCCTCCCAAAGGCGCGGGATTACAGGCTGAGCCACCGAACCTGGCCCATAGGGGGCCTTTTAAAGCAGTAAGTCTTGTCTCGTTTTCTTTCCTGCCAAACCCGGGGTCTGACAATATTTGGCCTATATTAGCCAGTCTTCAGTCTGAGGTTTCATGTCATATCAGATTAGGAATAAATGGGGAGAGAAGCGAGGGCAGATAATTTGTTCCCATGTCATTATGCTTTTGGAAACCTGGACACATTTTCTTGCTCCACACCCATGTTTGGAACACTTGCTACCTAATAATTATGACATCTGATGGAGGCTAGGCTAGTTTGAGGGACGAACTGGGTCACAAAACAGACCCTGACATTTAGGTTTTATTCTCATCTTGGCATTGGTGCATCTGTCTGAGCCACTGAATATTCAAGAGGCTAATCCCAAGATTGCATGTGTTTGTTTAAAAATGACCTTGTCACTTTTTATGTAACATTGATGCTCCTGTTGTGATGTTTGTGAACTTTAATCTATGTGATGTGTGACTGTGTGAACTCTGAATGTTTTAATTGCGACCTGGGGTAAGGCATAGCATTGTTGTGCTGACTATTTTTATCTTCTCTCCTGGCACTTTCTTGCCAGTTTGGCACTCCGAGCCCCCATCCTCATCTTAAGACTTGGGTCTGGCATTGCTGCATGTTAATTCTGTCCCAGGAAGTTCCATAGCAAGCTCTGAAGCAAGTTGGTACCTGGAAACAAGAAACTGTTGGCCTGTTGTGAGCCTGAGCATAAGACTCAGGACATCCAGTTGCTGGACTGTGGCTGTTGCCATATGTTACCTCCCAGCCTTACCTTTTTTCCCAAGTATGCACTTCTCCTTTCTCCTTCTCAGACATTCCTTTTCTTTTTCTTTTTTTTTTTTTTTTGAGTTGGAGTCTCACTCTGTTGCCCAAACTGGAGTGCAGTGACCACTCCCGGCCACTACAGCCTTGACCTGCTGGGCTCCGGCGATCCTTCCACCTCAGCCTTCCAAGTAGCCGGAATTACAGGCATGCGCTTCTATGCCCAGCTGATTTTTTGATTTATTGTAGAGATGAGATCTCGCTGCCCAGGCGGGTCTCGAACCCGCGGGCTCAGGCAATCCACTCACCTCAGCCTCCCAAAGGCGTGGGATTACAGGCTGAGCCACCGAGCCCGGCAACATTCCTTTTCAAGGGACAAAGTATTCCTATTCCCGCCCCTAGTCTGTGAAAAAACATCAGCTCTAGTTTCTGGAAAATTCCAGAACCTTCTCCTCCCTACCCTCTGGAGACAAAGGGGGAAACTTCAAAGCCTGATACAGCAAGAGGCAGTTTATTCCAGCACTCAGGACAGCAATGATGGGAAAACAGGGTGGACTAACAGAGTGGGTAAAGAGATGTATTGGAATTCTGAGTTGCTAATCAAGAGCTTTTCTCTCTTTTTTTGCCCCTTTAAAATCAGGTGGAGATGTTACAGCCAAAAATATCTGGCTGGCAGAAAGTGTTCTGGATATCCTGACGGAGCAAAGGTAGAGTCCACTGTGACAGATGGGGCAAAATAACGGCCACCAGGGGTGCAAATGTGGGAAATGGGGGGTGAAAGGATTGTGTGGCCCAAGAACACCTTAGGTTAGAGATGGGGAGGTGAGAGAAGGGAGAGACAAGATTATTGATGGCAGGAGAAGGAATTAATGCTGAAGGAATGAGATGGAGATCATTGCTAAAATATCTCACAGCCCAGGAAAAACTGGCTTCATCTGATAAGGGTTTATTTTTGATCCAGACCTTCTTGGAATGTTTATCTTTGGGGGAAGCTGGGGTGGGGGTGGGGGCGGTG